AAAAAAAAAAAACGTTAAAAAAAAATAAAAAAAAGTATCTCCAAAGCTACCACAGAAATTCTCCAGAGTACATCTATCATAAAAAGAAAGACACGGTGGTTTCTAGTCTATAGATAGTGAAACAGTAGCAACCAATGTTCTCATTTTCCATGTGGCCAGTGAGGAATATAACATATTACCAATACTCAGGCAGAGAGAGGGAAGATGAATAAAAAAATATACCTGGAAGAGTGAAAAGCTGATGGCATCTGCTATACTGCCTGTGCCTGGCGTGCAGCTCTAAAATGTCTAGTTTATCACACAGGGGGATGCAGCAGAAGTCCCATCCCACAGAGGCCCTACTCACCAGGCTGCTGTCAAGCAGTGCTTTGGTATTTCTAGAATCAAACTCCGGGGGACAATCCAGGACTCTGTGCTACCAACTATGTGTAGTGAATTTGATACTGGAGCAAGAATCGAATTCAGGGAGAGACAGGCATCTAGACATGGACATTCTTGTTCCATAACTGCACCACACACGGCAGAAAACAAGCAAGCACTTCCTGATTGCCTGTTGTGCACAGCCTAGAGGAAGCCTGACCGTACGCATGGTCCTGTCCTGCTGCAGATCACAGGCTGGTTGCGGAAACAATGGCTGTACATCAAACGGTTATAAAACAGGCTAGGGTTAAAAGAGTCTGAGGTTTTTTGTTTTTTTGGGTTTTTTTTGTTTTGTTTTGTTTTGTTTTGTTTTACTAATTCAGGTGAAGGAATTGTCCCTTGTAGAATGCCAAAGTCTTTAGTAAAGACTTCTAGAAGGCAAAACCGGGCCATGGCTGGATTGACATAATTACAGCAGCGGTCTTCTGACTTGAGTATACATTTAACAATAGCCTGAAGACAATCAAAAAGAATGAAATCTTGCCATTTGCAACAATGTGGATGGAACTAGAATGTATTAGGCTAAGTGAAATAAGTCAGAGTAAGACAATTATATAATTTTGCTCATATGTGGAATTTAAGAAACAATAAAATAGGGGAAGGGAAGCAAAAATAACAGAGAGGAAGACAAACCATAAGAGACTCTTAAATAGAGACAACAAATTGAGGGTTGCTGGAGGGGTGCTGGATGAGGGGATGGGCTAAATGGGCAATGAGAATTAAGGAGGGCCTTGTTGGAATGAGCATGGGGTGTTATATGTAAGTGATGACTCACTAAATTCTATTCCTGAAATCATTATTACACTATTATGTTAACTAACTTGGATTTAAATTAAAAAAAAAAAAAAAAAAAAAAAAAAAAAAAAAAAAAAAAAAAGAATAGCCTGAAGAGCTTAAGTACCTATTCCCAGGCCAGACACCTAAAGGTTCTGATTCAGTACATGTGGTGCAGAGTCCAAGAATTTGCATTTCTAACAAGCTTTTAGGTGCTGCTGATGCTATGGGACCAATAGGCTGCGGTTTGAGCAGCAATGATTTATAGAATTCAGAAAGGAAGAAAGAAGGTATATTAAGTAGAGAAGACAATGACATCAGAGGCATGAAAATGGAAAAATTCAGGCAACTTAAGGGGATAGCAAGGCCATAGCCTGATCATGTCAGAGCAGGGTTTATTTACTCATTAACTATTTGAGATTTCACAACATGCTAGATGCTATTCTGGGCACGAGGGATAAGATGGGGAACAAGATAGACAATGCAACTGTCTTCAAGAAGCTTACATTCAACAGGGATTAGTTAGACAATAAATGAATGGATAAATTCAAGATGGTTTCTGGTAGTGGTCAGCTTGGAAGAAAGTAAAATAGGGAGAGAGGAGTGGCACTGACTAGGTGGCTACTTTAGACAAGGTGTCCTGGGAAGGCCTATCTGAGGTGGTGCCAGATGAGCTGAGTTGCCCAAAGGTTTGGAGAACAGTAATTCCAGGCAAAAGCAATCACTGTATAAAGACAATAAGTGATAAAAAGCAGGAAACATGGGTAAATAGGATGGAGTTACCTTACAGGTGGTCTTCTCACCAGAAAGAATTTGGGCTTTATACAAATGGAAATCATGACAAACATTGCACTAATTTATGAAAAGAAAGAGCAAAATCCAAGACGCATTAGCGATTTAACCTCAGGTAAAGCCTTTCTCAATCTGTCCCCCCATCAATGAAATGGGGCTG